GGCCTGGGTGCTGTCCCTGAGCTCTTTAGCTCAAGGCTAGCACTCTGCCACTTGAGCCATAGTGCCATTTCCGGTTTTCAGGTGGTTAATTGAAGGTAAGAATCTCACAAACTTTCCTGACCGGGGCTGGCTTTGAACTGTGATCCTCAGCTCTCAACCTCCTGAGTAGCTAGGATTACAGGTGTGAGCCAACGGCGTCCAGACGGGTAAACTCATTTTAAAAGTAAAAACAATGTACACTTTCACAACAGAGCTAGGGACTCAGCTATACCTACAGAGCAACAGTCAACATGCTGACTATTTTGGCAGGAGATAAACCTAGAATGCAATGAGAAAGCCATCATTTTTCCTCATTTTCAACATACATTTCTTCCTTTCCATGAATTTACTTATTGGATCCATAATGTCATCATCATTTTTAGTTTTATCAGATGGAGACACTACAGTGTCTCCATCTTCCATGTCATCTTCATCTGTGTTAAACCACATCTCTTCTTCATCTTCTAGTGTTCTGGCATCTCGTCGATACCTATGATTCCTCAAGATGGACCGCATGCTATGAATAAAGAGAAGAAAATAAATATATTCATTGCATCTTTAATCCTAGCCACTCAAGAGGCTAAAATCTAAGAACTGCAGTTCAATACCAGCCTGGGCAGGAAAGTCCATGAGTTTTTTTGTTTTTTGGTCCGGTCGTGGGGCCTGAACTCTGTCCCTCAGCTCTTCGGCTCAAGGCTAGCCCTCTACCACTTGAGCCACAGCGCCACTTCCGGCTTTTTTTCTTTTTGCTTATGTGGTGCTGGGGAATCGAACCCAGGGCCTCAGGCATGCAAGGCAAGTGCTCTACCACTGAGCCACCTTCCCAGCCCCTCCATGAGACTTTTATCTCCAATTAACCACCAGAAAACTGGAAGTGGAGCTGTGGCTCAAGTGGTACAGTGCTCACCTTGAGCAAAAAAGAGCTCAGGACAAGTGCCAAGGCCTTGAGTTCAAACCCCATGACTAAAGGGAAAAATAAATAAAGCCTTCTTTTAGGGGTTGGTGCTGGGCCTCAAACTTAAGATTTTCAGCCTGGTTGTTGAGTTATTTAGAAGACTTTTCTTATTAAGCAGACTTTTCTACTTTGTCTGGTCTCAGATGGTGATCTTCCAGATCTCAGATCCCTAAGTAGCTAGTAGTATATGGCTAGGTCACTGGCACCTGGCTGGTATTAGATAATCTTAATAGGAATAAACACACAGAGTCTGAAGACAATCAACTTCACCACACATGCCATCATATCTATTATTAACTAGTGGAGTCAAACTTATTATCAACATCATACCATTACAGATCAATTATTAAACATGCCAACTTGTTAGGAATTGACAAATACTAGGTATATATGTAAAAGTACACTATAAATATGAACCCAAACATTTAGAAAACCATACAATGCATAAACTAATTTGTATAAAATAATTTGTAATTTAAAGCAAGAAAGAACAGCATCCTGGGCTGGGAAGGTGGTTCAGTGGTAGAGCACTTGCCTTTCATGCTCAAGGCCCTGGGTTCGATTCCTCAGCACCACATAAGCAGAAAAAAAAGAGCCGGAAGTGGCGCTGTGGCTCAAGTGGTAGAGTGCTAGCCTTGAGCTGAAGAGCTGAGGGACAGAGTTCAAGCCCCACGACCGGACCCATAAAAAACAAAAACAAAAACCAGTATCCTGATGTAGTTTTGAATACCAGAACTATTACCTGGTATCACAGACACAAACAATGTTATCTCTGCATCATACTAGTTAGTATCTACCTACAGCTTCAGAAAAACCTATGTGCCTACCTCCCCCAGCCAAGCCAAAAAATACCAAATCAACAAAACAACTACAACAAAAAGAGGTACTATACAACTTATTAAAGGATAAACAACAGTTCAAATATATGGTTAACTTATTTACCTGTCAAGTTTGGGGTTGTCTTGTCTTTCTCTTTGTTGTTCAAATCTCAGTTTTAATCCTTTAAATGTCTGCACATAATCAACATCTTCCAGTGCTTTCCAGTAATTTTCAATTACATGAGCAGTTAATGATTTTATATCTTCCTACAGAAAAGAGTTATACTGAAATTAATGACAGGAAAATATCATTTTGACAAGGTAAATAAAACTCACCAAAAAGTTGGATTTCACAAAATTATACAATCTCAGTGAAAACTAATAGAAATGGAATAACATACTGGCCATGTGAGCAGCTGTTGTTTTTTGCCCTCTATTGTGCCAGTCTTAGGGCTTGAACTCAGAGCCTGGGCGCTATCCTTGAGCTTTTTGTTCAGGGCTTGTGCTCTACAGTTGAACTACAGCTCCACTTCTGGCATTAATTGGAGATAAATTGGGAATCCTGATCCTTTCTCAACCTCCTGGATTAGGTAAGATAACTCACAAGCCACTGGTGCCGGCTTTACTTCAGAAGTTTTTAGTATGCTTCAGAACTGTTAACAGGTCTTTTCAAAGTTTATGTACACATCCTACTTGAAGGATTATGACTACTTATTTCTGCACTGAGGATTTTAAAATCGTGCCACAGAATGTTCAGGACTTGATAATGGTGATGATCAAATAATAAATAATATAAATCTAAGTTAATTACCGTTAGAGTATAAATTCAGAATGGCAAACCTTACACTATGTGTATTTTACCATAATTATTTTGCTAGGTATCCCAGGCTGACCTGAGCTGCCAAGCCTCCCTCAGCCATCACACATACATGCTGCCATACCCAGCATTATTTTACTATAATTACTTTTTAAAGCATGCCACAGAGTTATGCACATTGCATTCATGTCAGTAGTTATTAAAGAATCAAGAAGAGCCAGACTCTGGTGGTCATGCCTGTAATCCTAGCTATTGAAGAGGTCATGATCTGAGCATTGTGGTTCAAAACCAGCCCAGTAGGAAAGTCTATGAGACTCTTATCTCCAATTTACCATCAGAAAACTAAAAGTGATGCTGTGGTTCAAAATGGAAGAACACCAGCCTTGAGCAAAAGTGCTCAGGGACAGTGCCCAGTCCAAGTTCTATGCCCACAACAAAAAACAACAGCAACAAAAACCCACGTAGCATTTATTATGAAACTGTCCTATAGCAACAAGTGAAGGTCCAAAAAAAAACATTCAAATGCTTGTCTGTCAACTCCAAGTTTCTTCTTTTCTTTTTTTTGTAGGTCATGGGGCTTGAACTCTGGGCTTGGGCGTTGTCCCTATGCTCTTCAGCTCAAGGCGAGCGCTCTACCGCTTGAGCCACAGTGCCACTTCCGATTTTCTGGTGGTTTATTGGAGATAAGAGTCTCGTGGACTTTTCTGCCTGAGCTGGCTTTGAACCATAATCCTCAGATTTCAGCCTCCTGGGTAGCTAGGATTAACAGACATGAGCCACCGGTGCCCAGCAATTCCAAGTTTCTTAACTGATTAACATAACTGTTAAATTGCTTTCAAACTACTCTATAAAGATTACTATGAGATATTCTGGATTTTACTAGTCTGAATTGAACTGCTCACAAGTCTTTGGCATCATGGTTTTTCTTTCCAACATTTCCACACATAACTGCAAGTCAAAATACCAGCCAATAATGCAATTCTCAATTCAAATCAAAAGTCTAATTAAGAAACACAGAACCTACCACTCTAATAAATTCAAACATTTCTATTATGGCAGAGTTCATCAAATTGTAGCGGGATCCATTGTTGAGAAATGCTTTGACTACCGGTTCAAATAAAAAACTTTTCATTATGTAGCGGTTATAAAACTCATCTTTTAGGCCAATAATCTTTCTCTTAAAACGAAGGGCACCTGAAACACAGAGGCATTGTTGTTTAAGTCACACATTTCTATATTTTAGACTTACCAAAACAATATCAACAAAACCTGTTTAACAAGTATTGGTATTTTTTTGTGTACAGTGATATGTTGTTAGCACCTCTGGAAATGAAAACCTAAAGATAAGGATTTTAAAAGTATTGCCAGAAAATATATTCTGAAAGGAGTGTATGTTGTCATAGAACCCAAGTCTTAGAAAGCCATAAAAATTCTGGAAATAAGACAGCTACTAATGTCCATCTTATTTAAGATGTCTCTCCTACTATTTAAGATGAAAAATTCCCAACAATATCTTTTTAATAAAATATTTTTTTAAGCAATAGAAAAACTTATTTTATTAGGGCAATCCACTGTATAAGAATTTGATCTCCATTAATTCTGGACACTCTTTTTATTATCATTTTGCATGAGAGTTCTAGGATTTACATTGGTTGTCTGTGGATGGATGTAAAGGCTGTCAACCCATAAAAACTCTGCATGATCCCAAATTTGCCTTCCCATTCTTTAGAAATTAGAGGATGTTGTTTAAATGTGGTCCTCTTTGTTTATTGCACAGCGAGTATGCTTTTTATTTTTCTTAGTTTTCCTTTTTTACAATTAATTAGGCTTTAACTTACGGATGAAAAGGAATATTTGTATCTTGAAGTATGGGGAGTTACTTAAGTCACCATTCGTCAAGATCCAAATATACACAGACAGCTAGACTTCAACAAAGCCCTATTTACCTACAAGGAATTATCAGTAAGTTAATGCCCCAGTTATTGCAAACAGTTCAAAAAAGCATACTCACTTCGTGCAGTCACATCGTCTTCGGTTGGCAAGATTAAATATTGTGTTTGTATTTTGGTTTCTTTGGAGATCATGGAAGTGGCTCGTTAAATTGCCAATTTGTTATTAATCAAGTCCTTCATGAGCAGGTAGCCAGGCAACCATGCTGACACGGTTTCTGGGTGGGAAGGCAGAGGAGTAAAGCAGCTCAATTTTTCTTTATTTGGCAGAAAGAGGTCCACAAGTGAATGCCCAATTAGGTACAGCTGATTATAAACTGCCTTAACAATCCAACTTAAGAGTGTCTCTTTCTAAAGAGATACTCTGGGCAGGGAATTTCAAAATAGTTTATAGAATAACTGCATTTTCTCAATTGTTTTGTTTTGTTTTTAGCTGAGTACTTCCAAAAATAAGCATGGTGAAGATGTTTTAAACTTAAGAGGTATCATTCTGGGCAGCAAAATCAAAGCCAAGCAAGAGTCACGATTCTTTTTTTTTTTGGTGCAGGGCTTTTGTTAACTGTTAACTGAGAAAGGAATGCAGTGACAGTTCTACTTGGTAGAATAAAAATGAATACTTAAGAGCTAATGCTAATAGGCCAGATTTTATGCTTTCAACAAGAGCTACTATTATTCTAAGATTGGTACTCCAATTCTGCAGGCTTTGTGTAGACTTGTGTCCTACGACAACATAAACTCTCTAGTCCCTCTAGGATTGACACAGTTCCTAGGTGTGGGAAAAGAACCCCCATCCTTTCTAGAAAGCCCTCCGACCAAGGCATGCGGATGGCAGCCCTACATTCTTGAAAGTATTTCTATGTAGGAACTGCTTAGGTAGAAAGGCGATTCTGAAGATCTTTTTGTTGAAGGTTGAAGGGGGGAAGGGGAGAAGGGGGGGGGAATCCTCATTTCCATTTGCCCTCACTTATTCTTATCAATATCTTTAAATTTAAATCCCCCAAATTAAAAAAAAAAAGCACAAAAAAATATCCAACCATGATTTCTTTCTGTTGAATAAAAACCTGCTTTCCACCCCTTTATATATCACCTTTATAGTAACAATTTAAAAGGAAAAAAAAAAAAGCTGTTTTCCCTGGAACATGATAAAATTATACAGGACTCTAGGTATTCACACAGCAAGACCAAATGAGGATATTCTCAGGGGAGAAACACAAGGCATAACGCCCATGTATGTCTGATCATATAAAATAGTATTTATCAAAATGTACTCCAGCAAATGGAAACAAGGTTTTTGGTTGATTTTAAAAAAGCTGCTTTCCAAATTTTACAGTGAGTTCTAAGAAGTTTATTCACTAATAGGAGACTAGAGAACGCTTTCAGGACAGGCAAGTTTGGCATCACCCTAGCATTTTCCATGTAAAGTACATTCTGAACTTACTAACCTTATGTTGAGAACATCTTATGCTTAATTTCAATTATCTTGGGCTGGGAATGTGGCTTAGTGGTAGAGTGCTTGCCTTGTATGAATGAAGCCCTAGGTTTAATTCCTCAGTACCACAACACAGAAAAAGCCAGAAGTGGCTCTGTGGCTCAAGTGGTAGAGCAAAAGAGGCTCAGGGACAGTGCCCAGGCCCTGAGTTCAAGCTCCAGGACTGGCAAACAAGAATTAAAAAATAAAATAAAAATGAAATAATTTCAAAGCCGGGTACAGTGGCTCACGCCTGTAATCCTAGTACTGAGGAGGCTGAGATCTGAGGATCACAGTTCAAAGCCAGTCCGGGCAGGAATTAAACCACCAGAAAACCGAAGTGGCCTGTGGCTCCAGTGGTAGAACACTAATCTTGAGCTGAAGAGCTGAGGGACAGTGCTTAGTCCCAGAGTTAAAACCCCACGACCAATTAATTAATTTAATTTAATAATTCCAATTACCTTTTTTAAAATTTTTATTTATTTATTTTTTGGGTCCCGTCATGGGGCCTGAACTCTGGGCCTGGGCGCTGTCTCTCAGCTCTTCAGCTCAAGGCTAGCACTCTACTACTTGAGCCACAGTGCCACTTCCAGCTTTTTTCTTTTTTCTTATGTGGTGCTGAGGAATCGAACCCAGGGCCTCATGCATGCAAGGTAAGTGCTCTACCACTGAGCCACCTTCCCAGCCCCCCAATTACCTTTTTATTTTTATTTATTTATTTTTTTGTCGGTCGTGGGGCTTGAACTCTGGGCCTGGGCGCTGTCCCTCAGCTCTCCAGCTCAAGGCGAGAGCTCTACCACTTGAGCTACAGCGCCACTTCTGGTTTTCTGGTGGTTTATTGGAGAGAGGAGTCTCACGGTCTTTCCTGCCCGGGCTGGCTTTGAACCGCGATCCTCAGATCTCAGCCTCCTGAGTAGCTAGGATTACAGGCGTGAGCCACCAGCGCCCGGCTCCAATTACCTTTTTAAAATACTGTCTTAATCTTACCCAACAAGAGACTTCATATATTAAGTCTTCTTTGTCTCCTAAGTATCTAATGCTACCTGCATAAAAGCCTGTAACCAAGTCTAGTTCTGGGGAATCAAAACAGAACCGTGTGCATGTGCATGCCAAGTAACATTCTAACACGAAGATACATCTCAGTCCTAAATTTTTTGGTCGGTCATGGGGCTTGAACTCTGGGCCTGGGCGCTTTCCCTCAGCTCTTCAGCTCAAGGATAAGCTCTTACCAATTTGAGCTATAGCACTACTTCTAGTTTTCTAGTAGTTTATTGAAAACAACTTATGTTTCCTGCTATACATCTTCTTCATTTATACATGTACATCTATTTAAGTAGTAATTCTTTTATTTCATGTATCTAATTTGTGCAGTTTTTAGAAACCCTTGGGGGGGGGGAGTTTTTTTTTTAGGGGGGTGGGTGGGTGGGGAGGGGCTGGTCCTGGGGCTTGAACTCAGAACTTCTTATGCTCAAGACTAGCACTCTACCACAGCTCCACTTATGGGTTTTTTGGTCATTTATTGGAGATAAAAAGAGTCTCATATTTTCCTGCCCAGGCTAACTTAGAAATCTTCAGGGGCTGGGAAGGTGGTTCAGTGGTAGAGTGCTTCCTTGCATGCATGAGGCCCTGGGTTCAATTCCTCAGCATCACATAAGCAGAAAAAGCTGGAAGTAGTGCTATGGCTCAAGTGGTAGGGTGCTAGCCTTGAGCTGAAGGGCTGAGGGACAGTGCCCAGGCCCAGAGTTCAGGCCCTACAACCGACAAAAAGAAAAGAGAAAAAAAAGAAAAAAGAAAAGAGAAAAAAAAGAAAAAAGAAAAGAGAAAAAAAAAGAAAAACGAAAGAGAAAAAAAAAGGATTATCTTCAGACAGCCTCCTGAGTAGTCAGGATTACAGGCGTGAGCCACCTGTACCCAGCTCAGCTCATACTTTTTTTTTTAATTTTTTTTTTTGGGGGGGGGGGGTGTCAGTCGTGGGGTTTGAACTCTGGGCCTGGCACTGTCCCTCAGTTCTTCATCTCAAGGCTAGCACTCTACTACTTGAGCCACTTCTGGTTTTCTGGGTGGTTTATTGGAGATAAGAGTCTCACGGACTTTCCTGCCTGGGCTGGCTTTGAAATGTGATTCTCAGATCTTACTCCTAAGTAGTTAGAATTACAGGCGTGAGCCACAGGCACCAGACCAGCTAAGACTTTTTGAAAGGGCTTTTCAGTGTCTGGTACCTTCCCTTAGATTCACTCTCAATTCTCAGGAGAAAGGTCCACTTCAAGGAGTTAGGCCTAACAATAACCTCAGTTTATAAAGTATCCACAAACAAAAAAAGATAACTAAAATTTTGCTAGCATATTTCCTATAAATCTTCATTTACTTTCTTTTTTTTTTTTGGGTCCGGTCGTGGGGCCTGAACTCTGGGCCTGGGCGCTGTCCCTCAGCTCTTCAGCTCAAGGCTAGCACTCTACCACTTGAGCCACAGCACCATTTCTGGCTTTTTTCTAAATATCTTTTTTTTTTTTTTAAAGGCAATGCTGAATTTATTTTTTCGGCTTTTTTTTTTTCTTTTTGCTTATGTAGTGCTGAGGAATCGAACCCAGGGCCTCATGCATGCAAGGCAAGCGCTCTACCACTGAGCCACCTTCCCAGCCCCTCTGGCTTTTTTCTTATGTGGTGCTGAGGAATGGAACCCAGGGCCTCGAGCATGCAAGGCAAGTGCTCTACCACTGAGCCACCTTCCCAGCCCCCCTTCATTTACTTTCTATCAACCTTCATTTACTTACAATGATATTTCTCATTGAGTTTACAGGGGAAAAATGCCTTTACAATATTGCAAAGCAAAGTAATAGGGAGAAGAGGCCTTCCTTTTCAGCTGCCACTCCACACTCTCCACTGGAATTCATGTCCTTTTTTTTTTTTGTCGGTCGTGGGGCTTGAACTCTGGGCGTTGGGCGCTGTCCCTGCGCTCTTCAGCCCAAGGTAAGTGCTCTACTTGAGCAACAGCACCACTTCCGGTTTTCTAGTGGTTTATTGGAGATACGAGTCTCACGGATGTTCCTGCCTGGGCTGGCTTTGAACCGCAATCCTCAGATCTCAGCCTCCTGAGTAGCTAGCTAAGATTGCAGGCATGAGCCACCAGCGCCTGGCTAGAATTCATATCCTAAATGCAGCAAAACAGTATGCCACATTCTCCTATGAGCAGACAAACTCCAATTACCTCTTTTACAAACATTTCTTTTCTGCCTCATTTAGAATAAAGTTTTTTTCACTACACTTCCATATAACCCTTAAATTGTAGTCCAATTTTCATGAATTGATTTCTTTGGAAGATGAATTCGGTCTTAATCATATACCATTTTGCCCAAGCTAGCCTTGAACTATTTGTTATTTTCCCAGCTCTGCCTGAATAACTGGGATTACAGGCCTGTGCCACCACATTTACCTCTATCTTCACTTTTTGTGTGTGCTCTGTGTGTGTGCACACGAGCGCGCATGCATGCGAGCGTACACGCATGCTTGTTCACGTGTGTGTAGGTACTGGGGCTTCAACTCAGGGCTTCCCATTCTCACTTGGCTTTTTTGCTCAAAGCTACTGCTCTACCCCTCAGGCCTCGCCCTCAACTTGTGAATTTTGTGGTTCAATGGAGCTAAGAGTATCACTGACTTTTCTGGCTCAGAATCAGGATCCTCAGATCTCATTCTCCTGAGTAGTTAGGAATACAGGCATGAGCCATGGGTGCTTGGTTCATCTTTACTTTTTTACTTATTTATTTTTGTCAGTTTTGGGGTTTGAATTCAAGCCGGAACACGGTCCCTAAGCTCTTTTGCTCAAGGCTAGCTAGCACTTTACTGCTTTGAGCCTCAGCTCCACGTCCCTTTTTCTGAGTGATTAATTAAAGATAAGAAGTCTCACAGGGACTTTTCTGCACAGGCTGGCTTTGAACCATAACCCTCAGATCTCAGCCCCCTGAGTAGCTAGGATTACAGGGTGAGCCACTGGCACCCAGCTCATCATCACTTTCTTAGTACCAAAATCAAATCTATGGGGGAAAAAATCTTGTATTTTCCCTACTTCTAAGGAAAACAAAATGAACAGAGATACTATTTATAATGTCATGCCACAAACTATAAACTCACTTTGACTTTAAATGATCAATGTGTAAAAATATACATCTTAGAATCAGTGAAATGTATTATTTAATGTATGTTGAAATAAAACTGCTTATTCGTCCATTCCATTTTCACATTGTGTCCCATCTGCCAAACTTTTTCCCACACATGAATTAAGCCCTTTATGTTGACATGAAAGATTCAGAGTTACAAACTTCCTTTAAACTTGGCCTTGGTGCTCTCACTCTTCCTGAGTATTTTAGGAAAATAATATCGTTTTCAAAAGAACTTTTCTACGTGCTAACTCACAGATATAAGAGTAAGACGGAACAGAAGTGGTGCTTGTTTAAGTGAATACCACAAATGCTACGTACTACTTTGGGGTAAAAAAGATTACTAAAGCTAACAATAAAGATTCTGGATAAGCTTGAGCTGGTAGGTCAGCCTGTAATCCTATATACGCTGGAGGCTGAGAACCAGAGAGCAAGGTTTAAAATCAGCTCAGGCAAAACGATCACAAGACTACAAAAACAACCGGCACAATGCTAGGTTGATAAAAGCCCAAGGGGTAAAGAGCCAGATGAGCAAGTAAGCCAAATAAGAGAAAAGCTCTGAGTTCAAAGCCCAATACTAGGAAAAAGGGAGAGAGTAGGAAAAGGGAAGTTTGGGGAGAGACAGACAGGGAGAGAACAAAGGAGAATGGGAAGAGGGGGAAGGGAAAGAGAGATCAGACTTGCAGTCAGTGGAAAGTAATTGAACTGTTATCTGCAAGTGACAAAAGGAGAATATGTTCTGACCACACCTATCTTTAGGATCTAAGTATTGCAATGTGTAGACTAGTCTGAAAAATTTAAGTTGGGGAACTTGACAAATGTTACCCAATAGTTTACTAGGGAAATTTCCAACTAGAAAGTCTTAAAAAGACATAATAATTAAAAAAAAAATCACAACTTGCCTTTAAAAACCAAAAGACAAAAGTGAGCTGCTAGCATGTATCTCTTAGAAAGCTTCCAGAGAGCTGGGCACTGATGGCTCATGCCTATAATCCTAGCTACTCAAGAGGCTAAGATCTGACAACTGAGGTTCAAAGCCAGCCCAGAAAAGTCTGTAACACTCTTATTTTCAATTAATCACAAAAAATCATGGAAGTGGAGCTGTGGCTCAAGGGATACAGTGCTAGCACAAGAAACTCAGATTCAGGGGCTGGGAAGGTGGCTCAATGATAGAGCGCTTGCCTTGCTTGCATGAGGCCCTGGGTTCGATTCCTCAGCACCACATAAGCAAAAAGAAAAAAGCCGGAAGTGGCGCTGTGGCTCAAGTGGTAGAGCATTAGCCTTGAGCTGAAGAGCTGAGGGACAGTGTCCAGGCCCAGAGTTCAGGCCCCACGACCGGACCCCAAAAAAAAAAAAAAAAAAAAAAAAAGAAACTCAGATTCAGTGCCCAGGCCCAGAGTTCAAGGTCCAGGACCAGCGTCCCCTTTCCCCCAACAAAACAAACAAAATATACAGGAAAAAAAAAAAAAAAAGATTCCAGAATACCTCTAAATGCTGCCAATTTATCAGTAAGGACAGATTGAACCAATTCCCAGCTCATAAAAACGAATCTTAACAGGGCTCAAGTCCACGATTTTACTACTCAGGAGACTGAGATCAGGAGGATCACAGTTTGAGGTCAGTGGACCAAAAGCTCTGGAGACCTCATCTCTACCAATAGAAAGCTGGATATGTTGGTAACATATCTGGGAGGCTAAAGTAGTTACAGAGGTCCAGCCCAGCCTGGGCTGCACAAGACCCTATTTAAAAACAAACAACAACAACAAAAAGAAACCATGCTGGGCACTGGGGGCTTGTGGCTCATGGCTGTAATCTTTTTTTGGTTTGTTTGTTTTGCAATTAACCAAACATGACTTTATTTTTTTAATT